AGTAGAAAAGCAGAATAATATTCTTTGTGCATTCCTTGCCTAAATGAAATAGTTATGACAATTGTGTAGACGTTAAAAAAAATTCTTTTGCCTCAATCATCTAAATCATTTAGTTAAAAGTGTGTTTTAAATATACATTGTTAATATGATTTACTTTCTGAAAATTAGCAGGACTTTAATTTTTATTTACTTGACAAACTCCAATTAAGTCAGACAGACTAGTGTAATAATTGCAAAGGTCGAGCTTGGTTGTGAATTCTACTCCACCATTTACTAGGCCTGTAATTCTGGGCAAGTCAATTAAAAGCTTTAAGCTTCAGTTTGCACATTTGCAACATAGGTAAGAGGACATCTATGCTAGTAGTTGAATATTAAAATCAGCACAGTGCCTGGCACATGTAAATAAATGGAAGGTCAAAAAAGATTATTATAGATATAAGATCTAGATAATAGTACTTATGACAGAACTATATCAATTTATATAAAATTGAGTAAGAATTGAAAGTGAAATTAAAATTTTTTAACTCTAAATTCAATCTTAAGCAAATAAGTTAGAAATTAATATTTTGGGAGAGGTGCAAGTTATTATTAAAAAATTAATATAAGAAATATTGACATATTTGACATTAAATCATTTAGCATAGGAATCCAATTGTATGGTTAAGCATAAAACACAAGGTCTATTAGTAACGGCTTAAGAGATGCAGGTGTCTCTTTTAAACCACCTCTAAATTCCTTGAAATTCAACTTGGTACATAGGATCCTCCCCCTGCTCCCCCATTCCCATAAAAAGTATTTACGAAGGTACTAAGTTAAGAAAGGCCCCAGGGTGGCACACACAGTTAAGCCTTCAGCTGCTAACCTAAAGATTGGCAGTTTAAGCACAACCAGAGGTGCCTCAGAAGAAAGGTCTGGTAGTCTACTTCTGAAAGGTCACAGCCATGAAAACACCATGGAGCTCAGTTCTACTCTGAAAAACACAAGGAGTCACCGTGAGTCGGAATTGACTTGATGGCAATTTTTTTAAGTTAAGAAACATTTACCTAACCCTTGGGCACACAGATCTTTAAGGGCATTATTATCTAGAAATGTTTCTTAATACTGACTGTATTAGGTAAAAGTATTGTAAACATGGTTAGGAGCAAAGTGGGGGCCTTGTTGCTGCCCGTAGGTATGGTGGAGAAGATGGAAAACGCTTTTGCTCAGACTCTCTGACCTGTGTTTGCTGGAGCCACGATGGATCAGTAAGCAGCTCAGGTCTACCTTCTGATGTAAGCTCCACTAAGTTTCTCCAGCCAGAGCAGAACTGGAATACAGATGTTTGGAATTGCACCTGCCCAGGAGCAATGGGGGCCCAAGCATGATGCTTGGGTAAATGCAGTGAATGTCCACACAGCCCACAAATTGAAAGCAATTGCATTTGCAGAAAAGACTTTCAGAGACTGTGGAAAGGTAGCAGCTCTGATCTTGCCACTGAAGTTGATGCCCAGAGGAAATGATGGAGATAGGCCTGAGGATAGGAAGTTTCTAACTTAATTGTTCACCATTTTATTTTAACCTGTAAGTGAAATGTAGAGTCTCCCGAAGTCTTGAAAATGCCACAAGCACTGCCAAATGTTACAGGAATTAAACATATGGATACTGTCTAAATAAAAGATATGACTGTTCTTTCAAAATTTCTTCCCTAGTGTACGTTAATATTTAAACACAGATCTGTACAAACGTCATAAAAAATAAACTACATGATTCAACTCATCAGGGCTCTGTCAGCCCATGGGCACCTCTGTATGGAGCAGCCTTGCTCTGCAGCACTTGGCTTGGCCAAAGGCACACAGGCGCAGTCACTGTCTCCCACACTGGATGCCTTGGGTAGGACACAACCTGGCCCAGTCACCGTCCCCCACACTGAATGCTTTGTTTTGGATACTACTTGGCCCAGTCACCTTCCCCCACACTGGATGCCTTGTGTAGGACACAACCTGGCTTAGTTACTGTCTGCCACATTGGATGCCTTGTGTAGGACACAACCTGCAGGTCAGTGGGCAATGGTCCTGAAACTAATAGTTTGAGTGCCTTCTATAGGTCCATATTATGCTATGCTCTTTATACACTTATACTTTGTGAAGTTTTATGACCTTCATAAAACTTTTCAAATGACAAATCTAGTGAATGGCTGAGGAGGGATTTGAATCCATACCCCCTGATATCAAAATCAATATATTTTCTGTTACAGCAGGCTGATGTCTACCTCTACCTTCTCTTCATCAAAATTACTTGTTGAGAATTTTAATCTTCATAACAGTGCTATAGATTTTGTTCAAAGTGTGAAGAAGGGTGCATGCCTTTTTTTGGACAACCTCAGAAATGATCTAAAGTTGTCAAGCTAAGACTTTACTACTGCTATCAATAGGGTGTTTCAATTGACATGAGTTTCTCATCCATTTTTGGATGTGGTGGCTCAGTAGTTAAGTGTTTGGCTGCTAACCAAAAGGTCAGCAGTTTGAATCCACCCGCTGTTCCTTGGAAACCCTATGGAGCAGTTCTACTCTGCCCTCTAGGGTTGCTATGAGTCAGAATCTATTTGATGGCAATGTTTTGTTTTTTTTTTTTTTTTTTCCCGGTTCTGCCGATAGTAATAATTTTCACTGTTTTTATGTTGAGCCTCTCCCTTTTAAAAATATTTTCTTCCTCATAATTCCCATATTGTAAAATGCATTTATTAAGCAAATTGCATTCATTAGATAAGGATATGTTTATCTATTTTTATATGAAAAAATCTATTAAATAGGGTACATAATTTAAAAGCAAAAGATAGCAAACAATGATAAATGGCAGTAGAAAAACCACTAAATTTATTTAATAAAGCAAAAAGTATTTAGTTACCTTGTACAGCAAACTTTATATCAGAAAGAGAGATGGGGTTGAATCCTGGCTCCTCCAATTGTCTTCCATGTCACTTAAATTCCTAAGATTCATTTCTTCCACTGTGCATGGGGTAGTAATTCCAACCTCACCCAGTTGTTATGAGGAATCTAAGTGAGAGACTATAGGTAAATGATTTAGCACAGTGATTTCTCTGTGCTGTGTGTCTTCAATAAATGTTACTTTTCTCTTGTTGTGAGTAAATGTAAAAACTAGAAAGCTTTTAAGAATAATGAAAACAATTCACCAAATACAATTCTTGACTCTGTGAATCCCTAGGGATCTGGAGCCTCTAGGTTGAGAGACGACAGTGTGGGTCTAGGGTCTCCAGTGTCTTCTGGGGACTAAGGGGACCTACCACAAGAAGGAAGTAGCAGAATGGGGAAGTGTATGTGTGTGGTGGGGTGTCCTGCTCAGAACCAAACTGCTCTCTTTCCTACTGGTCTTCCAAAGACTCCAGCCTTCTAATTCTATTGTAAGTGTTTTGAGGAGCTACACAATGAAACAACAAGTGTGGCCAAGAGAGGCCCAGGGACTGGCTCAGACATTTGTGTGGGCCTTTTGTTTATGGGGTGTCTCAGGGGATCAGACATAAGGCTGTTCTCCCCAAAGTCGTTAGTTTTGTGCCCGGGTAGCATGGTATAATGCTGAAGGAAGGAAGCACCTGTTGAGTAAATATTCTTGCCAATCTATTTTTGAGAGTAAACGCATGCCTTCCTTTCCCACATCCTCACCAAAGTAACTTTGTTCACCATAAACCTGGTATTCTAAAATGATAACTCAAAGGCAATATTTATTTCCTTCCTTCTGCTAAAGACTTGATTAGTCATCTAGGGGCAGATCTTTTAAGGACAGCTAAAACATCATTTTTTTTCCCCTAAAACCTCAAGCTTTTAAAATGCACTAAATTATTTGATTAAGCTACTTACAACTTTATTTTCTTTCTGCTTTTTATGTGTAGACCAAAACTACCAACTCAAAAGGTGGTTTTTTTTTTTTTTTTTTTTAATGCTCTAAGATGAGATGGGTACTCTGGAAGTGGCTATAACTTTATTAGGACAATGAGAGGGCATCCAGGAAAAAAATAATTATTAGACTGCTGTTTACATATTGAAGTCAATTTCTATTTGTTTGTTCAATCCACAACAGACACTTCAGACAGCACCTCCCATTACTTTCTCATAAGAATTCAATGTCTAGATCAGTCCTTATTGGAGCCCTGGTTGTGCAGTGGTTAAAGTGCTCAGCTGCTAACCAAGACGTCGGCATTTGGAACCCACCACCTGCTTTGCGGGAGAAAGATGTGACAGTCTGTTTCCGTAAAGACTACTGCCTTGGAAACCCTCTAGGGCAGTTCTGCTCTGTTCTGTAGGGTTGCTATGAGTCAGAGTCGACTCCACGGAGGAGGATTTGTTTTTAGATCAGTCGTTACTACCCTCCAAGGACCAGTCATAGGAGGAATCACAATGTCTTTCCACACATATTATTTTTCCCTTCTTCTTTTCTCCCCTGTATTTCCTGAGAAAATGATACACAAACTGTTGATTTTGAGAAGTGGCAGTAGTCTGGAATTCCTTTGTTGATAGAATATATTTTTTTGACATTATTTGGACATTAAGGGTATTGAAGACTCTTAGAATCAAGTAGTGAGTGCTTAAATCCCTCTGGCTTTGTGTACTTTGGTGTTATAAAGTGCAGAGTTAGCTCCAAATTGGTCAGTCTGCCTAGCTATGCTATTCTAATCCATCACATACGTGGCATGAGTTCTTTCTATTTATAATAGAGAATTTTTATTTTGCAAGCTTTATCTATTTAGCTCTTTTACTACAAAAGCCTGGCTTTGTCACCCTTAGCAAAATGAAACCAAAGAGTGAAAAGAATATTGAAATATTGTAACCCAAATTTCTGCCTTCATTGCTGATAATTATTTCTGGTAATTCTCAGGCCTTTAATGAGCTTTGACTGCAGCGATGTAAACTGTGTATTCAACACTGAATTGTGATCAACTGCAGTCTTTCCAGTACATAGGAGTGAAGGATGGTGATGTCCACATGATAAATAACTCTTTTCTAGGTTTTGCAATGGAACGAATATGGTTGCTGCTGCTTCTAACAATTAGAGTGCCTCCAGGATCTGCACAGTTCAATGGCTACAATTGTGATGCCAACCTCCACAGTAGGTTTCCTGGTAAGTCTGAAGATAATATTTTCTCTAATTATATCTGGAAAGAGTGATTATGTTTGAATAATAAATCATTTAAATTACACATGGAAAATCGAGGGCTGTCCCTACATTAAGTGGATATTAACAATTGGCAAATGACAAAAGACATTTTTCTGGAGTTGCAATTTACATCCACATTAACATACAAAGTGTTCGTCGTAGTTAATATTATAATGGTTACTCACAGATTTGAAAAATATTGGCTAGTGGGTGGTAAAATTGGGAAAGCTTAATTTCTTTCAAAAATTTGCCTGATTGATGCCTCTTTTATTAGTAAGTTAATTTGGACTTTTAAAACTGCCCTTTTATGCTAATAGATCTATTTAAGAATAATTCTTAAGAAAATAATTATGAAATATCCTGCAATATTCAGAAAACATAATTTCAATGAAATGTTGGCACCACCAAAGTATACGGCCCAGCCTCACAATGAATTTCACAGAAGTTACTTGCCCACCAGTATTGTGACAGATATAAGATGTTGACCATATTGATGGACCTATCGTACAGGTTCTTAAAATCGGCAGTCGGTGAGAAGGAACTCAACATTTCCTTTGAGTATTTACCATTTTATAATAGTTAAAGTTATAGAACCACAGTTCAACAGTTAGAAAATAATGATTAGCCAAGCTGGAACTGCCTTTCCAACTCTGCCATGCAAACCCAAATACCTTCTGCCATGTTTTAACTTTTCCAAACCTGCCATCACTTCTGTGCTTGGAGGATGCAGGGCAACATCATACCTGCATGGAGCAATCACTAAGTAGTAACATCACTGATGTTATGTTCTTAATTTATCTGAATAGAGGTAATCTGGCTCATTCCAGAATAAATACCAGAGCATGTCAGAAAGTCATTATAATACCTAATGTGCATGTGCTTGGCATGTTAATTAAAACATGGAGGTCATAGTGGGGAACGCCTAAGGGTTAGGCTAGAAAAGTATGCTAAAACTGGGTTAATGGTTTTTGAATACAACAAATGAGATGTTTTGTTTTTTACATTTTTATTATGACATTTTTCAAATATATACAAAAGTTGAGACTAGTATAAAGAGCACTTATGCTGATCATCTAGCTTCATCAGTTATCAACATTTATCAATTTTGTTTAATTTTTCTCTTCTTCTCACCACCCCCATCCCAGAAATGTTTTAAAGTAAATTTATTTTATCTGTTCATGCTTCAATATGTATAATTAATGGAAAAGAACTTAAAAAAATAAAACATAACTATACTTTATGCATACATCTAATATACTAACAATAATTCCTTAATATCATCCAATACTCAACCAGGTTGCCTCTAGAACATCCACATGTTGCATTTGTTAATATATCTCTTAAGTCTATTTTAATTTATAGCAGTTCCTCCTTGGTCCCTAGCTTTTTAAAAATGCTGCTTATCTCTTTAAGCCATTGCATCTTTTGTCTTGTAGAATTCTGACACTCTGGATTCGGCTGCCTACAACTTTGAGGTGTCCTTTAGCATGCTATTATTTCCCTGTGTATCCTATACACTAACTAGAACTAGAGATTTGCACACATTCAGGTTCAATTATTTTGTTAAGAAGACTTCGTGTTAGGCTGTGTGTTTTGTAATGAAGAGCCATTGAGTTACTCTTAGCAGGGTCACGGCATAGTCACATTTTTAGTTAGAAGCAGACACTGGGAAAAGTGTGCAAGATAGAATTGAGTTAGAAGAGACTAGAAGCAGAAGAAAATATTATGAAGGCCATGGCAATGGAAGCAATAGAAGGAGACAGCTCTTAAGAGATATTTTTGTGGTGGACACTGCATAACTTGATGACTGATTCTATTTGGTGAGGAAAAGAGAAGACTAGAAGATGTTTTGAACTTGGACAACTGGATATTGATACTGTCAACTGATAAGAAAAATATAAAATACTGATTATATTTTTTTCTAAAAAGTTTGGCTTTGGAAGTAATGGGTTTGAAGAGTTTTTAGAACGTATAGTGGTAGCTTTTATTTAGTAGTAGGAAATATGGACCAGTGTCTGAGGAGAGAGATAAAAACTGAAGTTAGCTATGTGAGAGCTGAATCCAGTGCAGTGAGTGAGGAATGAATAGAGGATAGGAAAATGAAAGCTATGACAATAGACTACCATTTAGATAACTTTGGTTGATGAAGGAAGAGAGGAGTAAACTGAGCCAGTAACTGAAATGAGCAAAGAGGCTTTTTGGACTAGAGTGGTCTGAGTATATATAAGTGAGGAGAAAGTATTCAGAGACTGAAAATACTGAAAAAGAAATAACTGAGGCAATGAGGAAAGAAAATATGCAAGTGATCAAGAACACAGGTGGTACGGTTAACCTTGGAGGAATGGTAGCTCTTTCCTTGATTTAGGAGAGAAAGAGAGATAAATACCCCGAAGGTGAGAGAGGCTAATCCTGTCCATTTCCTCAGTGACGTGGGAGGCAGCAGCCCTCCTGAGAGTGAGCTGGCCAGAGGCCTGGTCGGGGGCCGGGTAAGGTTGGGCAAACCATGATCCTGTTACGGATGAGTAAGAAGGCCAAAAATAAAATGATTCTTCAGCAGAAAGGATCTAGCTGATGTACACATAGTCATACATTTGCAAAGGTAAATAAAACGTGCCAATGAGCCAGGAAGTGGCTAGAATAGCAGAAGGAAGCATTTATCATATGGTAAATTAGAAAAAAAAGAAGTTAAAACATCCATTTACAATGGCATCCACTGACCACCTGTATCAAAATCACTTGAGGTGGTTGTTAAAAATGTGGACTACACTGCTTTACCCCAAACATGTAGAGTTTAGAATCTCTGAAGGCAGTGCTAGGAATTTCCATACTAAAAACCTACGGATGAGTCTAATGTACATTTATATTTAAGAACAACTGACATAGTGTATTTTGTTATTTTTTTGGATCTGTTATTCCAATTAACACGTTAGAATTTCTAGTACTGTCCTTCTTAGACAACAAACATGCAAACTTTCCAAACATATACATACTCACACAAATATCCACACAAACACACAAGCATTGTTGCAATTTAATATCTGTATATATATTTTTTCAAACTAAAACCCAGATAAAGCAGAAGTTTCAGGAGAGGCTTGATGTTTGTATGGGCATTATTTTAAAATAAGCCCAGTTTTGCAGGATGTTTGCAGAGAGAAGACCACAGTGAGCAAATAAGGTATAAAGGTTAATTACTCACTCCCCTCTTGACTTGCAGCTTCTTTTCCACATCAGGATCACCCTTGATGTCATCAGAGGTCCCACTAGCTGCACAGATCCCAAGCAATGGGAAGGAATGCGAATAAGGCTGGCAAAGGCGAGGGGCTATCTAAATGCAAAGCAATGTTAATAATCATGAGAGTAATCATTTCATCCTATCTGACCTTTGCTGTTTCATGACATTGAACTATTTTCTTTAATTTCCATGGCGTTTATCCTTGAACTAAAAGAACTGCCATGGTCTAATTCGTTTTACATTTAAAGTGGTATCATTTAATTTTAAGGTAGTTAATTCTTGGCTATCCAAGCTAATGGCAATGGAGCAGAATCACGAACAACTAAATTACAGTTGTGCTCTTCCCAAAATAAAACTCAAAAACGCAATTGACTTTTAGAGTACCAAAGAATTATTTGCCTAGAGTGAAACAGACAGATAAATGTACTTGGCCTCAGTGACTGTTGGATAACTTCTGGAGTTATCCCCTTCTTTTGGAAGGGAGTAGTATATTAGGGTTAGGCTGAACTTTCAGGCCTCTGAGGAAGTCTGTAATGATAAAGGCATAACCAAGGCTAGATGTGGGATTATAACAGCAGAAACTTTGTGGCCAGACATTGTCTTATGGTGAACTAACCAATCATGGGAAATCGGATGAAAGTCAGTGTTCGTAACTGGTCCATTTGTATTGTATTTAAATTAACACTAATAAAGAAGAATGGAGGGGCAGTGATGGCTCAGTGGTAGAATTCTCCCCTTCTATGTAGGAGACCTGGGTTTGGTTTCCAGCCAATGAACCTCACGTGCAGCCACTATCCCTCCATCACTGGAGGCTTTCGTGTTGCTGTGATACTGAACAGGTTTCAGGGAAGATTCTAGACTAAGATAGACTAACAGGAAAGGCCTCGTGATCTAGTTCCAAAATTCAGCCAGTGAAATCCCCTGAATCACAGTGGTCCAATCTGCAACTGACCTTGGGGATGGCACAGGACTAGACAGCTTTTCGTTCCATTGTGCATGGGGTGAACATGAGTTGGGGGCTGACTGAATGGCAGCTAACAATAATAACAAGAAAGAAAACAATAGGTTTCATGTATTGAGTGCCAGGCACATTACATAATTCATTGTTTTATTCCTTACAACAAACCCACAAAATCTTTTTTTAAATCTTCATCTTACAATGGAAAAACTGAGCATTAGTATTTGTCCAGTGTTACAAAGCTAGCAGGAGACAGAAATATAAAACTAGGATTACTTCCACCAAACCATGATGCTTAAGATGAACTTTGAATACTATTTAAAAGTATACATTGATGGAGAATCACAGTGGAAATCACCACGGTAAAGGATCTGAAAATCATATATGGTAGGGAAATTTGTTTTGCCTTTTCAGGACCTGCTTGACTAAGGAAATATTTTTTCTGGTAATACTCATTAATATTTCACTGGACAGTGGTTTGGAAAAACGTACTGAAAGTCACCTATTTAATGGAGAGGCTTCCTGGGTGGGTCAAGCACAAAGAACTGCCTAGTCTTGGATCAGGCTTTGCTTAACCATTGCACTGTTCTATGTCCAAAGACAAAGTAAGAGTGGGTAGTGGAATAACTACTCCAGGGGATAGGTTCTAGCCCTCCATGTAGATAAGAAAGGCCAACTTTCCTGCCTTCCTACTTAGGTTGTAGTGTTTTTGTCTTCAAGATGTTAAGACAATGCCTGCTTTCTACTTTGCACTTGTGACTGCGATTAATA